GTTATCTTGAAGATTTTTTTTCAAAATATATTGTGCATTGTATATTTATACCTGTTGAGTCATAGTCATTATAAACATCTTCTGTTACTGAAATGAATTAGTAGAGATTTATGTTTTGCATTATATGCCACTTATGAGATAAGAACTTAGCTCAACAAGAAAGTAAATAAATTTTTTGTAATTCTCAAAAAAAAAAAAAAAAAAAAAAGATCAGCAGTATTGAATAGATATTGATATTTTGCAGTTCTCAGAAAAAAAGCTTAATTGGTTCTCTGAGAACGTAGGTAGATAATTAATAGAAAAATATTGATATTTTACAGTTATCAAAGAAAAATATTGATATTTTACAGTTCTCAAATAAAAGCTCAGCTTCGTAAGAAAGCTTATGAAGATGCTGGACTGCCAGTCCCTGCAGAAGAGAAATCTCCAAAGAAAACTACACAGAAGCAGCAAGCTTCCGGAAGAGGAGAGCCTCAAGCAAAGAAACAGAAGACAGCTGGTGAGAAACTCTTGGAGATTTTATTACACACTTTCTTAAAAAAAAAAAAAAAAAAACGTTTCAAGCAAGTTTATTTAAAGATATGAAGCAAGACTTTTTGACCCTCCATCAAAATGCCTTTATCTTGACTCATCAAGCCTCAACTTCAGTTAGATTTGATTCATTTTTTTACCATCATTACACAAGAGACAATGATAAATGATAAATCTAACATTTCACATCTCACGCTTGGTATATAATTTCAGAGGTAACATTGAGTGCACTAAATGCACCCGAGGGTGATGTTGATATTGAGGGAATTGGGGACCCTCATCCCAGGAAACTAGATTTTGATTCAGGTGAGTATTGCCTTAATGGATTACCCATTTTTGTTTATAAATCCATATGANCTTTCTTAAAAAAAAAAAAAAAAAAACGTTTCAAGCAAGTTTATTTAAAGATATGAAGCAAGACTTTTTGACCCTCCATCAAAATGCCTTTATCTTGACTCATCAAGCCTCAACTTCAGTTAGATTTGATTCATTTTTTTACCATCATTACACAAGAGACAATGATAAATGATAAATCTAACATTTCACATCTCACGCTTGGTATATAATTTCAGAGGTAACATTGAGTGCACTAAATGCACCCGAGGGTGATGTTGATATTGAGGGAATTGGGGACCCTCATCCCAGGAAACTAGATTTTGATTCAGGTGAGTATTGCCTTAATGGATTACCCATTTTTGTTTATAAATCCATATGATGTCAAATATTATAACTTACTATAGTGCGCCAAAACATGTACAGTATGTAGTGTGATAAACCATATCATACAATAATGTTATCTGATTACCTGATCAAACCTCTATCAAGATTTACATGAAAAACATAAGGGCAGTTTACCACGATGAAAATCTAATATCTTTGCAATTTTTTAACCCAAATACTTATTGATTTATTTCCTAGACGTAGATTCCAGCATGCTGTGATGAACTGAAGACCAGAAAGATGTAATCACAGTAAATAACAGTGCCAGTCTGTGCTAGAAGGGACAATAAATGCTTCCCTCAACTGAGGAGGTTATGTTGTTATCAATTTGTTTGTTTGATAATGGAACAATATATCTTGAAATGTTTTTCCAAATTTTGTCTCTTGTTGATATGTTGCTGTAATGAGATTTTTCCGTCTATCAGTGGATTTCCAACTTCTTGGGAGCCAAAAATATCATATTAGAGGTCGATGCAGAGGGCCCCCTGGATCTCAAGCCACATTTTCAGACTTTTTCACTGAATGGCAGTTCCATCCCTGTTGTTGTCATTACAAACTTGTAAATACCATGACATAAGTGTAAGATGGGGGCTTTACTCACAGGATGCCATTAGTAATAGAGTTTTAAAAAATGTTTTAAGAAACTGTATGAAGCCAGTTACTTTCAGTTGTTGTGCATATTTAAACAGTTACATGGTGTACAAGGTACTTGTTAAGTAGTGTAGATTAATAGGCTGATGTAAATTTGTCTACCCATGTAGATTTATTAATAACAAATTCACTTTTGTATTCTCTGGATTTAGTTACAAATTTAAAGTATTGTTAGCTCTCTGCTGCATCTGTGGTCTTTTTCACATTGACAGCTTGATGAGCAACTGAACAGTGCTTTTTAATTTTGATTCAAAATTTACCAAATTAAGCCTTGGTATTTTTGTATAGGCTTCTTATGCAAGCAATAACTTTCTTGTGTAAAGGTGACAGCCCACGGGTCTTTACTGCAGCAAATAGAACTTGGAACAAAAGTCTGTATTTATTTCTTAAATGAAGTCTTACAGGCTTTTATTGCCAATCTGTAGCAAGCACACAGCAGGACTTTGGATATTTTATTGTTTAATATTTATTAAGCAGCGTATAGTTTTCAAATATTGAGATCGACTGAATGTAATAAACACACCTACAAGCATTTACTTATGTCATGCCCTTTAATTGATCTTTTTAAAAATTTCAGTAATATACCATTATGAATTAAGACCTATAAAACGTCCCCGTTTTTCTTTACTAGATTGTTTCATATAATCACTTTTATTTGCAAAAAAGTGACCTCATAAGACTAAAAAACTTTTTTAAGTTGCTTTGTCCACCCCCTCCCCCAACACACAGGATTTATTCTTAAGCAAGTCTAAAATTTCCATTTCTAAAGTTTTTTAAAGTTAAAATATTACATTTCCAGCTTTCTAAATCTAAAACTAGCCACGCCAGTATAAGATAGGTTTAGATAAGTTGTATAAGAGATTTTAGAAAGTTACATGTATGAGAAATTTATTTGTAAAACTGTCAATGCTGGCAATGCTAGCAAATTGGAATAGTGTAACAACAATATAATAATTATATTTATTACTTTATTTATTTGAGCTCAACTTCATTGAAACAGTCAATCCTTGGTGAATAAGTTTTTATCCGACTGATGTGTCGAGGAAACTATCTTTTATAATGCTCTTATTTATCCCAAAGCAGAAGCCATAAAACCACAATAATTTTATAAGTTTCAATTATCAACATCAGGAATTAGTCCAGAATATATATACATCAGCTTTAACAACGTATTTGGTCCTGAACAAATATAAACTTAGTCCATATTGTTCAGTTCTATCAGCTTGTCTTCTTCTTGACCAGTTCTTTGAATTGTGACAGTATTCTTCCTTCACGCTTGGATCGCTCTGCATGGTTAAAGTTGGCCAGGGCACGCTTTTCATCTGCGCTGTATATCTGGTTTTCCTTACGGAGACGGACGGCTTCCATACGACGATGCCTGAAATGCAAGTATAAGAGTAATAATTATTATTTTTATGGAAAATTGGTGAAAACTGCACAGCTTAAAACAAGGTATTGGGGGCTGTCTATTGTATTTCTATTTGCCTTAAGAAGGAACATCTGCTGGCTAATCAAAGCCATGCTAAAAATGATTGTAATAGCAAACCTTGTAACATTTCCAATGTCAAGAACAAAAGATAAAGATGTGATGTTATTTTCAATAGCTGCATGTCAAGCATGAAAGTAAATTACAACAATGCCTGGGGCCATTTTTCAAAATCCACCTTGGTACACATTAAAGACACCCCTCATTATGTGACACCTACTTGTATTCATGCAAGGTATGTACACCTCTCTGGATTGTGGTATATTCAATAATAATAATAATTATTATTATAATTCTTATAACAATCAGTTTCCTTATTATTGGCTCAATCAACTGCAATCATACCTGCTCCCACTCATGACATATCCAGAATCTTCAAACTTGTCAATCTCGTCTGGAGTCAGACCAATTTCACCTCTTCTTGGGATCCTCTTGCCTTCTGCTATGTAAGCTGCCATGGCAGCACCCTCTCCTGGCAAAAGAGCTCGGCCAAAACTGAAATGATTACATAAAGTGGTTTTTAATGAGTTAAAGGGTAACAGTAAAAACTGGGATCCAAGAAATGCATGAACACAACTCGAGTATGTTTAACTTAACTTACTGAATATTTTTAAATCAGGACTTTATCAAATGGATCATCCACAATACAATTCTTTTCTGTTTTATGATGTACTTTTAATATATAATGCTTTGCAATGATGAGCGTAAATTTAATCAATTAAGAGCTATCAAATAAAGGCAATCATATACAGAGCAAAAATATAAACACTCTATGTGAATTATGTAACATGAAATAGACGATTACAAATGAGCTTATCTAGCCTTATAATTTTACAGTAATCTGCAGCACATAACAAAATTCACTTGGTACGATTTAATATATAATTACATAACCCACAATGCTGATAAAATTTCTAATTAGTATTGTGAGGGGCATATATATTTTTGGTCAGTACTAGTACATATATATTGTCCCAACCTTAAATGAGAGTGAGAAAATTTGTTTAACTTCATGCAAGTCCAACTCTCTCTGAATGACAATGCTTTTCTTTGTACCCAAACATACTTTTAGTTAAAAAAATAAATAAATAAAATAAAATAAACAAAATTCAAATTAATACTTTAGCTCCCCAACTTACTCTAATTTAGCCTGTCCCGACCCGTCCCCTCCATCCAAGATGGGCCCAACCACATCTTCTTCTTCTGGTTTCTTCTTACCAGAGCCAACTAAAACACAACACAGACTCAAAATATGTACAACAATACATGCACAACAATATCACTTGTAGTTAGTACATTTTACAGCTTAGACCAGTAACTTCTGAGATGCCTGCAGGGTTTTGACGTATCAAAGTTTAAAGATAAATTTTTGTAGTTAGGTTCTGAATCAGTGAAACAATCAATAGTGAGAAATTAAAATTTAAAACCATTATAACTGTGCTTACATCAATCATTTTGTTTTTGCATTTTCTGGATGTTCTCATTACTAGTAACAGATGACTTGCCTAAATGAACCTGAACTTAACATAGAGGAAAACTATTAACTTTCTTACTTTTCTTCTCCACCCACTCTTCCATATCAGTGTCACTGTCCTCAGATTCTGACTCAGTCTCCTCCTTCTTCTTTTTCTTCTTTTTGGTTCTGGTCTTTTTAGCTTTCTTAGATTTTTTACTAGTAAGAAAAGTTGAAAGGGTTATTAAGGCAAACAAACAATTTTCTATATAAATATGCTCAATGTGACTCCTCTATAGTTATTTTCCTTTGTTCCACAAGCACCATACTAATTTTCAATTGCTATACAGAATTAGTAATCTCAATATATTAACATTTCTATTGTTCAATTAGTTTTTATACAGAATTAGCAATTTGAAGCAAAAATGATCAACCTTTCAATCGATTTAATTTTAATTGATTGTTTTTTTTAAATAAGATCAATTTTGAAGAGTATTTTTTAAAAAGATTTTTTAAAATTCATTTATCATCCCAATTTAATCTTTGTACCTTTTCTTTTTGTGTTTCTTGTTCTTTTTATCCTTTTTTCTCTTTTTCTTCTTCTTTTTCTCCTCCTCCGATGACTCTGTTTCAGATTCAGATTCAGAATTTCCCTTTTTATTATCAGTCTCTGCTGCCAGCCAAACATGGTCCACGTGGTCGGGTGACGGAGATCTCCCCCACACCTCTAACGCGCCCACTTCTCCGATCTTTTCTCTTTCACGCCTTCTCCTGTGATGTGAAAAATAAAAGTTTATGGAGTATTCAAAATAAAGAGCATGCTAAAACACGTCAAATTTCAACACACATGAATGTCTTTGTTCCATTATATTTTAAGATGATTTTTGTTTCAACAGGACGAAACCTTTAAATCTTGGGAGACATGAATATAATTAAACGCTCTTAATCATGATATTCAACTTTAACCTTAACGGGCCTGATGACTTGGGACTGATAAAATATTAAATGTACTGTTCATCTCTGGTGGTGGTTTTCAGCTATTATGCTCTATATCAGAACTGAATAAAAAGCTTCACGAACTGAATAATTCAAAATTAATTAGATAAATTTTGCAATAAAAATTTTCTTTTTTCTTTTTTCGAAAAAAATTATAAAATTTTATATAATAATCACCTGTTTAATTGAATAAAATTCTTAGAACTCACTGACATGAAAAAAACTTAGTCACCATAAATTTGATCAAGGGGCTAAAATCTTAAAGGTACATATGAACCAAGCATTGGTGGAGTGTGGATTCCCAGTTACACATGTAAACCACTTCAACTAGATTCTTATATGACTAAAATAAATTCGACATGCCAAGGGATAAACTGAATAGATCACTCGATCAGCCATAAAAGACCTTTAGACTGCTCCTTTCTTTAAATTTTTGGTTGTAAATTTAGCCTACTTTTGTGACCTACTTTCCTGCCCCATTGACATACAGCTTAGAATGCTAGCAGAAAAATCTGTTCAAACATCATTTTCGGGTAAAATTAAACAATGCCTTTTGGTAATTCTCTTAGTTATACTACTTGAAACTATATGCTGGCATTTGGTTGGTTTTGTGACAAAAAATTGACTTTGTATGCATCTTTAACCACGAAGAATATATAGCACAAGCAACTTTAAAGGTTAGAGTGACCCAATGAAAAAACTAGACCCCACTTACCTTTCCAAGAATTCCAAGGACTCTGGTAACTGTCTTCTTTGGTGTCCATGTTGGTGCCACTGACTTTTCTTGGGGTCTTGTGGAAAGTCATTCCCAGAAGAAAATCCATTCTCTCTGTCAGTTCTGGGAGAATAAAAAGAGTACGCTTGCATTTTTTTCTTATAGGTACAAGACTGTTTCAATATTCTTTTCTAGTATTTTCTGGCTGTCAACTTTCAAGCAGAACATTACACCACTTCAAGTTACATGTGCTATAACTTGTACAGTCAAATCTCATAATGTGAAAGAACATTCTTTTACATGTAGATCAACTAACTTCACTATATTTTCAAAACATACAGCCTAAAATTTCTTTTAGTCAATGCCTCAAAGTAGATACTCATATTTTCAAATAAATCCTATACTGAATATTTCCAGTTTTCTGTTTTTCTATATATATATGACCCATTAAATATAATAAAGGCACACATCTCAAAATTTTTTTTTTTTTATTCATTTAACCATTAAAGTTACCTTACCTTTCCTGTTTAAAAGGTACAGGGGATCTTGACCTTTCTGAATTCATGGCAATGTTCATTAGTCTATTGTTAACTGGAGACCTTGACATAGATTTCTTCCTTTTCATAGGTGAGCTAGATCTTGATCGTCTCTTGCTTACTGGTGATCTTGACAGATTCTTGCTCACTGAGGATCTTGACCTTCTTTTGCTCTTTGGTGATCTCGACCGCCTCTTGTTCACTGGTGATCTTGACTGTCTTTTGCTAACTGGTGATCTTGAGCGTCTCTTGTTTACTGGGGATCTTCTTTTGCTTACTGGTGATCTTGAGCGTCTCTTGCTCACTGGTGATCTTGAGTGTCTCTTGCTCGCTGGTGATCTTGAGTGTCTCTTGCTCACTGGTGATCTTGAGCGTTTCTTGCTCACTGGTGATCTTGAATGTCTCTTGCTCACTGGTGATCTTGAGCGTCTCTTGCTCACTGGTGATCTTGAGCGTCTCTTGCTCACTGGTGATCTTGATTGACTCTTGCTCACGGGTGATCTATAATTGCTCTTTCTCACTGGTGACCTTGACTGTCTTTTCCTCACTGGTGATCTTGATCCAGAATTTTTTCTGTTTCTGGGTGATCTTGATCTAGAATATTTCCTTTTTACTGGTGTCCTTGACCTCCTTCTTTTAGGAGACCTTGACATTGACCGTCTCTTACGCACAGGGGACTTAGACAATGACCTTTTTCTCCTAACAGGAGATCTTGAACTACTACGGAGTTTCTTTCGGTCAGGGGAATCATACTTGCGATTCTTTTCTCTGGAATTGGATCTGTAGTGTCTTTCTCTAGATCTACTTCTCGAACTATGCCTTTGGTCAGTTTTCCCATTCCTTCTGTCTCTTGGACTCTGTGAACTTGAACTGCTTGATTCAGAATCTGACCTTGAATCAGACTCTGAATCTGAGCTTTCCCTTACCATCTCTTTTGCTCTTGTTTGCAGAGTATCTGTAATATAAAAAAAAGGGGTAAAGATTACATTAAAATGCATTAAAATGTTGATGAGGAGCAGGTCTTTTTTCTCAGAAACAGACAGTTACTGTTTTCGGAAGATAAAAAAGTAAAAGGTAAGAAGTTTTAGGTATATCCGACTGTCTTAAATTCCCTCTTAATCAGAACTATGACCTATTCTAATTTCTACTAAAACATGCCTAAACATAAACAGATCTTTATCATGGAACCTGTATGGAATATACTTGCTCAACGTTACATGTAAACAAAATTCTTAGCATTTAAAGTCAATCAAGCAAGTTTATCTCACTTGTAACTTTGTTATAACCTTACATTCTGAAACTGCAGCAAAACATACGTACCGGAAGTGTAAATGAAATCTCGCGAGACATGCGAGAATTCACTCGGATGTATATTATTTATGTTTTATTTTAGATTTAATTATAAATTAACCTGCCTTAAGTGGCGTTTTGCTTTCAAAATCGATTATAAGATTTAGTGCATTGAGAATATAAGCATTTGTACTCTATAATTATGAAAATAAAAAGATCGTCTATTTCCGGTAACATTCGTCTCCAGGGTGATGTTTCAAAATGGCGATACCAGGAGTGAAATATGACGATGGGGGTGTTGGAGTTCCTGGCAATTGCTTTCCTGTCAGAAGTATATTCAAACAATCTGAGGAAGGTCAGTGTACATTTCAATCTCACAAAATTGAAACTGCATAGTTTGATACTGCGTATACTGTTCAGAAAACGTACAAATATAGTCGTTTCAGTCGAGATTGTGGTAAATAAGGTCATGGACATAAGAAATGAGAACAAATGCATATAGCAGGCTTCTATCCAATGATGGCAAGAGTGTATTCTGCTTTAATTTTACTAGAAACATGTTGAGTGAAAATCGTAACGTTGCTGGGTTTAAAACTACGCACAGGAAATAGCGCGAAATGTGGAGAACCAACCAATGCTACATTTCAGTTGCTGAAAAATTATAGGAGGGGTATTTGGAAGGGGTGGGGGTTAAAGGGGTATGGGGGGGGGGGTTGAGTTGGAGAGACAACAAATTGTCACCTTATTTATTAAGCATATTTGCATTAAAAAAAGATTCCCCAGGTATTTTTATAGGTATTGCAGCCTCAATAATCATTTTCCAATACTCCTACATGTACCGGTATATATTAGAGGATGATGCATCAACATGATTTCATAATGGCAAAGCTATCATGCATTATTATTTAAAAGAAATGAAATTCATTTTCAGGAGGAGGCGCATGGCTGGTCTCATTACGAGCAGAACAGCGTCGCCGCTTCAAGGCTGTTCTTTGTTCAAAGCCAAAGACATACTCACAGATCAAAGAAGAGAAAAAGCAATCAGCTGCCCCAATAAGCACTCCAAGACTACAGGGCAATCTCAGTGATGAAGAGGAAGGAGAGACTTTAGATGGCTTCTACTTGGTCAGTTCATTTGCATACCTGCAATTGTCCTTTCGTTTATTTCTTCTTCTTCTTTTTTTTTTATCCCAGAGGTGTATCACAGATTTTTCAGAAATAGAAGGTGGTTGGCTTCTGCAGTAGCAAATACTCCTATGCAGTCTCAAGTGTCCCATGCAATCTTATGATATCACCTGGCTTTCAGTAGGAATGGGACTGTTTATCTTTAAAGAATTTTTTTGGCATGTGAGGACACTGGGGGGGGGGGTTTATGGGAACAAGAACATTATATTTTCTAGCAATTTTGTTAAAAAAAAATATCTTGACCAGTGAAGAAAGCTAGCTGTCCAGCTATTTAGGGTAAAAATTGAGTTGTCTTGTCAAATTGCATGGTATATTGTGATACAGACAAAGGTAAGAAGATATTACCACTCTGGTCGCAGATACTTTACCATTTCCATATTATATTCAACCTTTCAGCTATACCTAACTTTTGGTTTGGCCCTCTTTCATTGAATAGAAAGTAAAGAACTTTAAGATAATTTTTAATTGATAAAAACTATTGATTGTAGACCATTGGGAAAAATTTATTTCAAGATGACCCAAGAAAAAAGTCAGCAGTATAATAATAATTTCATTCCTCTCCTGCAGATGAAGCACAGCTGTGTAGAGGACCCCTCAGACCTGTGTTCTGTGAACATCTGTGGGAAAGGAATCACTGAGGTGAAGGAGGAAGATCTGGGCCTCTTTGACAATGTGGCTTATGTCAATGCAGGGGAAAACTTCTTGCCATTCGGTAAGTGTGTGTGCGTGTGTGTGTGTCTGTGAGAGAGAGAGAGAGAGAGAGAGAGAGATTGTGCTTGGGTAGATCTTTTGGATAGATTTGTATATTACTTAAATATCAGGATTGTAAGATAATAATTTTTTTTATCTATTTCATTTTTTGATTGTTAGTAAATTTGAAATTCTTTCATTTCAGATAAATTAATCCCTGCCTTTTTTTCTCCTATAAATCCCTTACCTATACAGTTTGATAAATTATGTTGAATGATTTATCATTATGTACTCAAAATGTTTTTCTTCTTTTAATTTTTAAAATCTAGCATAATTTTTTTTTTTCATTGCAGAGGCATTCCGTGGTTTCCCAATTATTCGTGAATTAGAGATTCCACTTAATGGGTTAAGAGGAATACGTATTACACGCAAGGACTTTCCTCATTTGGAGGTAATATTTTGATGTATTTAAAACTACTTTTACACTATGTGGACTTTGTTGGGAACATCTTTGTATATTTTGTAAATTGTTGTCTGTTTTGATATTTGTAAGATTAAAAGGAAATAGTCAATTTTCTGATGTCCCCCCTCCTTTCTGGCCTTTGAGAATGGCTACATACTACATGCTTTTATAAGTATCATTCACATTCATTCACTAGTTACCAGCACTTCCATAATCAACTTTTCCCTTTTTAGGTCCTTGATCTGTCATATAACAACCTGGCCAAGGAAGATATTCTAATGCTTGGCGTCATTCCAAAACTTAGGGTGCTACATTTAACAGGGAATAATTTTAAAGAGCTTCCACCTGATCTAGCTCAACCTTTTAAATCAGAAAAGTAAGTATTAATTTTAAATAAGTAAACTGTTAGCAAATGATCACTTTGGATTTTTTTTTTTTTTTTTTGCAACATTTGTTTTAGAGTTTTAAAAAGTTCATTCATTTTGTGTTATAGTATTCTTTCATTTATTTATTTATTTATTTATTTATTTATTTATTTATTTATTTATTTATTTATTTATTATTATTATTATTGTTGTTTTTATTGTTGTTATTTTATAATGTATAATTATTAAAAGTTGTTTTGTTACAATTTCTATGTTTTAGAAAAGTAATTGTTGATACTGAACAAAAGATAATCAGTTATTTAATAATTATTTAATTTATTCAACTTGAATAACACGATTTTCAAAGAATCTTTTATACTGTTACATGTACTGATTATGTCATTTTAATACTTTATTTTCAGAGAGAAAAGAATGGAAAGATTTCCTGCTTTAGAAATATTATTTTTAGATGACAACAAACTGTCTGATCTTTCAACTTTTTCTGCATTAGCCGGACTGAGGAGGTGAGATAGGATTTCATGTATTTTAGATAGCGTTTATGATCAATTGAGAAAAGGAAAAGGAAATATAATCTACGCTTGAATTTTTTTTCCTTTTAATCAAAATATGGATATAGATAAATAAACCACCGCAGTGAAAAATTCTGACACAATATAAGAATTATTTCATTCTACATTTTAGGCTGCGTCACCTCAGTCTGGAAAAGAACAACATTTTCTCAGTGCCACAGCTGAGGTTGGTGGGAGGTAGACTGATTACGCAAGAAAGTCCAGCCTTCAAGAAGATGAAGAAAAGCAAGACACCAAAGTCCAGGCCACTCAGTGCTAGAAGTCAAAGAAAAATGGAGGAAGAAGACAGAGATGGTGAGTGGTTAGATTATTCAAGGACGTATAAGACGTTTATCAATAAACATCCTTGGATTATCCAAAGCAGTACATGTACTATAATATAGCAGTAATGGCTAATCCAGTGGAGGACACTTGCCCCTTCCTTAGCAGTGAACTTTTTCTTGCCATACTGCAATGTAATGATTTTGATATCGTAAAATGCACAACTGACTTTCTTGATGATTGTTTTAAAGCTAGGGATATGAAAATTGCATCTATGCTGAATAAAACCTAGATAAACTGACGATGCAGTTCTCATATCCCCCTAAATAATAGTTTAATATAAGGTTTAGTGTAGCCTATTCTAGTTGAATTAGTTTTTTTTTTTTTTTTTGTGGGGTGATCCCCATATCGATCTATATTGTGTAGTACTTCTACTTTCCCTGCATTAGTTTAGACATTATAATGTATCTCTAACTGTTTACGGTAATCACTCTGCAGATTACTTCTTATATTTGTATTTGATCATGCCCAGATGTAGGGTGATTGTCAATAAACTTCTGATTCTGGTTCCTTAGCTTCTGAGGTACCTACACCCCTCTCGTAAAATTTATTTATTTATTTACTTAATATTTATTTTTTTTCTCTAGCCACCAATATCACACTTGATGAGCTAAAAGCAAAGTTAGAGCAGCTGGACAGGGAGGAGGCCGCTGAGTCTGCATACCAGAGGGCAGTAGCAGAAGAGACAAGCCACATCCAAGCCGTAGAACAGCAGCAGCAAGCACTGAGAGCACAGACACCCTCTGGAAACCAGCAAATACCCCCTACAGAGAAACAAACAGCCAATGAGGACATACCCCCAGCTGAGGTGCTTCCATCAGAGCAGCAAGTACCCCCTGCAGAGCAGGAAATACCTCCAGCTGATGTCCCCAAATCTGGTCAAGATGCAGCCCCAGAAGTGCAACAGGCTCCTCCTATGGAAAACCAAGTTCCCTCATCCAATCAGAACACAGCTCCAGTTGAACAGCAGGCACCCCCTGCAGAGAATCCTGCAGCCAATCAGGACTTACCTCCTGCAGAGGTCCCTCTGCCCAATCAGAACACACCATTAGTAGAGCAGGAAATGGCACCTGCTGAGATACCAGAGTTGCCAGAGTTACCATCTCCTTTTATGACAGAGAGAGCGAACATCCCCCCTGCAGAGTCTGTGGAGCCTCGCATTGACATTCCCGCAGACCAGGCTGATGCAGACGGGATCGCCATGCCACCCCCCTTCCCTGAGCTCCAGTACCTTAATCTGGCATTTAACCAGGTAAGACTGTTCATCAATTGACAGAGTGAAGGAAGATCCTCACTGGTGAAGTTCAGTCAGGACCAGTAATTTATTTATTTTTTGGAAGGTCTCATAATTGTCCTTAAGTTTTTAATTAAAAATGGAAACTGTTGAACATTGGTTCAGTTCTCATGACAAAAAACCTTAATGCCATAAAAGCTCACCCATAGCAAAATGAAACATTTTCAGCAAACTATCTGGTTTGTGTCAAACACTCTCAGAGAATTTGCAAGAAAAATCTGTTGCTGCAAATTTGCAAAAGTTTTTCTTTCCTTTTTTTTTTAAATTCCATAAATAACCTATTTTTCAGATTGAAGACCAAGAAGCCCTCCTTCCCGTGGCTGCCTGGCCCATGCTCAATGAACTGGTCATCCATGACAACCCGCTGACCACTCGGAACAGTGGTGACCCCCCGATACTGAAGCAGTACCTCCAGGACAGGCTGGGTATCAGGGTGGTCAGGAAGAAACCACAGCCAGCCATTAAGCCACATGTGGAGGTGCCACAGAAGGCCAGCAGGAAGGTCAGTGTGACAGTCCTGGAAACTACTTTTAACACATTAATAATCACCAGGGGAGGGACTGGTTTTATAAAATATCTTTAGCCTGAACATTGGTCTAAATTTATTGACCAAAATTATAATCTAAAGCAGGAAAATATTTAAAAAAACTGGCATTTTAAACCAGCTTTTAACCATTACTTGAGCCTCCTTGAGAAATGGTCAGATGCATATAAGAGAGATGTATTGCCAAAATAAAGAGCAGTATGCACTGATCACAATAACCATTTACATATTGCATTTTTGTGCACTTTTTTTTTCAGTTGAAAATTGTCAGTTGTTGCAATATAATTCATTTGAGTATTTGATGTATGTCACTTTTTACAGGTTAAGACAGTGGTGCCACCTATTCCACGATGCAATGTTGATGAACTGCTGGCACTCGAGGCACCAAAGAGGATGAGATCCCTCCCCTCCTCCGCTCCTTCCTCTCGCAATGTCACCCCAGGGGGAATGGACCCCAGTAAACCCCTCCCTCCCATTGCCCAGTCTCCAAAGCAGAGGTCAAGACCACAGTCTGCTGGGTCAGTACCACATGACATGAGGTCAGAGGTCAAGGGTGAAAGGTCAAACCAAGAGCCAGGAGAGGCATGGCCTCCTCAGCAACAAGAAACTGAAGAAGATGGAGATACTTTCTTTATGACACAGGTAGATTAATATTGGCTAAAGAATATATTGATGTTTATTTTTTCACTGGTTTTGAAATATCCAAGCACATATTGTCAGAACATTTTTATACAAATCTCAGTTCACAGTTACCTTAATCTGGCTATCATTATTGTTTTTGGAAACTCTTTTTGAAAAATAGAGTTGAATTTTTTTAAACATATAAATACACTGGTATTTTACATATGTCCTGTTTTAATGTGCAATTTGACTATTTTATGCATTTTTCAGATTGATGAAAACATCACAAAAGATCAACCTAGGCCTCCAAAGGAGACTCAGAAACCTGAAAAACAAAGGAAAAAGAAGACTGTCCCGGGGCATTATAAGGGATACGAAATTTTGTTAGATGCACCAGAGGACCCCAATACTCATATCCCCAAAGGTAAACATTCCTCTAATATCTCTGTCTTTATCTGAAAATCAATCCTAAATCTGTATCTGCCAAATTTTCTTTCTCTCTCTCTCTTTATTTGATGACTTTTTTCTTTGCTCAAGACTCCCCTTAGATAAAGTGGATTCCAAATTCAAAAATACAGAAAAAAAAATTGAAAGACTTTCAGTGCCAGGTAGATGGGCTTGATATATCCTGTATTTTGAAATTCCAAAAGGACAGTCACATTCTATAGACTCTGAGATAATAGTTATCTGCCATACTTCTGGTATTTTTTCATTATCTACATTACCATTATTATGTAGCAAAATTTCATTATGACAAATATTATTTGCAATAAACTGTTATTATATTTGTTTGCAGTAATTCATTATTATCATTTTTATTATTATTATTACATTGCAGACCTTCAAGGCAGTGTGCGTGCCCTAAAACAGATGCTGGATCACCCCATAGTGTTCAGGGACAATGTGGTCCAGCTGGACAGGATACAAAAGCCTTTTGAACCATATAAACAGGTGAGACATCTGCATTTCTTCTAGCACAATATGATTTTCGCCAGGCACACCTAACACAATGCATTTCCACTGGCCAGTTGCACCTAACACAATGCATTTCTTCTGGCCAGGCACACCTAGCACAATGCATTTCCTCTGGCCAGGCACACCTAACACAATGCATTTCCTCTGGCCAGGCACACCTAACACAATGCAGCATTCAGAACAGTGGACTAACTAGTCCAAGAGTCAAATATGGCCAACCCACTTGAATACTTCCCCACGGGGAATCTGTTCAGTGTCTGTTAGTAGATTAGACGGCAAGCTGTAACACAATGTCCACTATTTTCCCAGGATACAATGTCCATCATTTTGAAGCTTATGTCCAGCAGGCACATGTATTGGTGCGTTGCTTACCAATACCTTATAAATGTATTTTAAACACAATGTCATTACTGAAATTCATCAGAAGGCCCTGGAACTGTATTAGAAATGGGAAATTTATTTCTCACATTGAAAGTTCATCCATAATTTCAACATTGAATTTCCTTCCAGCATAAATACCTTAGTGATGTCCCTCCCAAAACATACCAAGAGAAAGTAGACGACATGCTGACGGAGATGAAGACAAGGACCGCGGTAACAGAGGCTCCACTTAACGTGGCTTTGAAGGACAAGAGAAAGATGAAGGACTTTCCTGAGGCACCTACTTTACTTGGGGATGTAAGTACATTGTGGGTGGCTGTTTATAGTTATGAAAGTTGAGCTAAATTTTGTCAGTTTGTTGTGGCTTCTGACTGGGGAGCCCATCTTTCTTCTGGCTCTGGTGTGACCTTTCACCTTAACCTATGACATAAGGGAAGCATAATTTTTCAATGCTTCATGATTTCGTCAAGACCCTACATCACAGGATTTTTGTTGTGTTATGTCAAATAATTTTTATCTTGTTATGCAATATTATTCTTCATCTCAACTTATTCAATTTAAAATATATTTTGCATGATTATTTGATATTTTCAGGTCCAGAGAAAATACAATGCTGTGAGAACAGCATCCATGCATGACGCCAGGGAGGCTAGGAAAGCACTGAAATCCACTTTAGATGAAGTGTCTAAGAAAAACCAGAAATAGCATAATGTATGACAATACTTCCAGTATGACACTTTGTTGGTGTAATTACGTAACATGTCATTATTGAAAAATGTGAAGCATTGTTTATCAGATTAGATGCTTTCACAGCCAGAAGCAGTAACAGTTGAATTTCTGACAGATTTGAGGGCAAGAACACAGCGCCATTTACGTATTATTGTACATACGTTTAGAGTTGGTGCTGCTGTCTTTTGTGTGTGGAGTACACTTTTAACACATATGTGCTGCCCTCTTTTGGTTGGACTGAACTTTGAATTGCTGACATAATGTTATGTGATTTAATCATTAAAACAGTGGATAATCATGATTAACAAAATTATCCTTACGTCACTGTGTACGTGTATCATATGAAGTGAGCTATGATTGCCATAATGAATTTGGAGTCAAATTTATGTATATTTATTAAGAAAATGTAAAAAGTGTAATATATCTTTAAAAATGAATGCTTGTATATTTATGTGTAATTTTTTCTAAAGAAAATTAAAAAAAACATATATATTGTTCCCCTTTTTCTTCCTTTTGGGTGGCCTTACATGAACCAATTAATAGATATTCTGAAAACAAGGCAGCAAAGCTGTCAAATGTACAGACAAAAAGCTGAAAATAATGTTGTGATATGCCTTTTTAAGATTAATTCTGATGTACAGTGGATAAAAGAAATACAGAAAAAGGATCAAAGTATTATGAAGTAACTTAACTGGATTTTATTTCAAAAAAACATGTTGATGCAGATGAAGATAAAATTTGACACTCAAATGTTATAATCTGCATGGACTACGTAAATTAAACAGAAATCTAAGTTCTTGTCACTGGTGAATAACCTAGGTGATGGCTTTATCTATACAAGATATTATGTATAAAATTAAGGTATCTTGGTTCAACATAGTGTTCTTCTACTGCTATTCTTTTCATAATAATACATGGAAAACTGAGAATTATTGTCTGTTCTCTATCAATCATGTCAATATATACACATAACTTTTCTGTGAAACTTTTAAACTTAGGATATGTTACAAATATATTTACTTTTCAGTTAAAATGACACCAGAATTTAAAAAAAACATGAGGGAATGAGGGAAAACCAATGAATTTGAAGAAACAGTTTATTTTATTAACCAGGCAATAAGGGGGCAAAACCTGGCATTAAAAGTGCCAGTATTTTGAATATAAATCATTTTGGGGTGCTGTGCTAACTGTCAAGATCCTCGATTAGTGTGTCAACAAATGTCTGCGGTGTCAACTCTTCACCCAGGAGATCTGAAATAAAAAAGTGGTCATTACTCTGCAGTGCTCATCACTAAGAGATTCACAGATACTAGTGAATAACAGAATAAAGAATACAGATCTGTACCCTAACTGCTAAATGTTTTGCAAGTAAGTTACAGATGAATAACTAGAACAAATGACATAACCTACTTCTTTGATTGTATAAAATTCTGATGCGATGCACCTACTTGTTCACTTATTTCTTTTTCTTTTCTTTTAATTATTTTTCCTTTATTTCTTTTATTTTCATTATAATTATTACTGTTATTATCATTCTTGTTACTACAAGATTGTTGTATGTTATAATTCTTGCACTTGGGTAATAATGCTTTCTGTACATGTCATGTATTACATGTATATGTCAATCTGTATGTGTATTTCTACTAAGTGTTGATGCATCATGTATTCATCATGAACAGTTTGACAAAGAATTATTGTCCATAACTTATATGATACTTCCATGATACACTTATAAAACATTGTTCAAATTAAAGTATAATTGAACTGATGTGAAGCAAAGATCATTCGGCTTATTGAAATCTTGCCCATGCCCACCTTGTAAAAGCTCTAATGGCGGTTTCTGTCCTCCGTGAGCCAGCACTTTCTGGCGATATTGTTCGCCCATTGTTCTGAATGACAGGAGCAAATCAAGGTCAACTTCACTGCATTAAACACACGTTAATATGATAAACTATTTGTGTGAACTCAAAATTAGTTGTATGGATAGCAGTTCTGGGGACATTTTTCTTTTAATATGAGAGGAAAAATTAAATCTAATACTGGAAATGGGAAGTTATTAATATGCAATGATCCAACATTGTGATTGGTACCACTGATCTCCTGAAGTCCAGTATTCAATTTTTTTTTCCTTTTACATGACAACACTCTTCTGGATGAATCAGAACATTCACCCTCTCATCTTAAATATGGTATACATTGGTGTTTAAGGGAAAAGTGTTGAAGTTTTTTTTCCCCATTTCTTTTTTTGCAACATGAAGGTTTAACACAGCCTTGGAGGTGAACCATCTGGTAAGATGTCTTACCTGTTAAAGGGGTCATCCCTGAAGCACCTCTGCCAGATCTTGGCAGCCAGAGCCTTGGAGAGGAGATAGGAGTAATAGCGAGCACCATAACCAGCAATATGGGAAAACCTCAGCTGCCATGCCTGAAAAAAATATATACATTCAAATGTACCATCACCATACAGAGTAGTGTCCTAGATTTTCAGTACTAAATACTAAAAATTCTCAACTGTCCAGCATATGATTTATAAGACCGATACTGTTAGAATAAAACAGCTTTTTGAAACAAGTTTCAGTTATTCTATATGATGTTTACCTGCTATAGGTGAAAGAGTTGTAAGTATCATATTGCTTCAAACAACAATGTTTACAAATTATTCTTTAACTTCTTTAAAAGAAAATGATGTCTGGCATCTCAGCAAAACACTTACAGTGCCTGGCACATAGGGCAACCCCAGATACTCATTCTGTACTTCAGCTAAAATGTCTGTCGTACTTTTACCCAGAGGATGTTTTCCATGGTAGACTTGGTCCAACATACTGTGGAATACTGACTGCTGGAGGGTCTGGAATCATAATACTGTGTCAATCACACATGGGTGCTTAGCATTTTAAAGTTAGAAACTCAGGGGTGGGGCTTAGGCTTCAGGAATACTGACTTTTAATGTATATATGTGATGAAAAACAAAATTAGTGTTGTGGCAATCAAATGGATGCTAAGTGTCAGTACCCTAGGGGTGGAGCTCAGGCACCAGGAATAATGATTGTTGGAAAGTCTGTGATAAAAAAACAAATCAGCATTGTGTCAATCAAATAGATGCTAAGCAACAATATCCTAGGGGTGGAACTCAGGCACACAAAATACTGATTGTCTGTGATGAAAAGTAAATCCAAACAGTAACTTTAAGGTGGAGCTCAAGTATATATTTTTCATGCAACATACTATCACTTCTTTTCAATATTGCTTATTGCTTTTTGATATTTGCTTAAAATGATGTGAGTTTCAAAATCATTTCTCTTAATTTTTTTTTTTCTGAATCATTAAATTTTGAATCAACAAATAATGACTCAAGTAAATAAAATTTACCAAAGCAGGAAAAGTTTTCTTTGAATTGTGTATGCCCTGCACCATCTGACTTGGCATTTCCTCTCCTGTCTTGTAATGGCGGGCAAAACTGGAAATCACCTATGAGAAAAAACGATTTTGATTTTTACTAATTCATTAACTTTACATCTCTCCATACTTTGCCACAGAAGCCATCTGAACTAGTTTGTATTGTGGATACTAGGCTCTTAACATTTATTAATTATTACAAATCTGGCTTGAAGAAAGAAAACGAGCAACAGATCGTTGACTACAAGTGCAGCTTTTAAGAAATTCAGTAACACATACCCTTGGATCAAGTGCAAAATACTCCATCAAGATTGAAGGGACCTCAGCAAAGTCTGTGCTGCACCTCGTACCTAGCATGATAAAATACCAAAATTGAGAGAGAGGGGTCAACATGTTTTATCCACTGGCATGGAAAATCTGCACAAAAGTCTAACTACATAATTTTATAACAGTGGATACTTTTTCATACATTTTCATAAAATTCTCTCTCTCTCTCTCTCTTTCTCTCTCTCTCTCTCTCTCTCTCTCTCTCTCTCTCTCTCTCTCTCTCTCTGTATATGCACAAAATGTTAACAACCATATCTACAATGGCAGCTATCAACCATTGCATGCTAACAATATCCTCACTCTTTATATTAGTTCTTAATGTATATGCTTTTCTTCCCAGTGCATGTCCATGCTCACTCATGTGCATGCACGCACGCACACACACACACACCCTCCCCTATATGTACCTGTCACGTGCTGGTACCTTGTCCTGCCTAACATGGAGTGCATAGCGTGCCCCATCTCGTGCCACAGGTTCTCCAGCTGTGAGTGTGTCAGTAAACAGGGCACAGTGCTTCCTGGGGGGACCAGGTTCATGTACAGGGCTACCTTGGGCAGCTGGAAGATATGATTAAGATATTACAGAGTAGAGAGTTTGGAAATAAGATCAAAAATGCACATATATGTGTGTGTGAAGTGTGCTTTTTTGGGGCAGATAAAGAGGATGCAGTGTAAGAAATATATCACGTATACCATTACTACAAGTAGGCGGTGTATGTTACTGCCAGCGTTTACCGTAATTACTGTTCTTAGTAGATTACTGTTACTGTTTTTACTACATATAATAGTTGAGATATAATAATAATTATTATTATTATCTTTTTATTTTATTTATTCATTTATTTTTTTTTGGACTGTCCTACCTGATATTCACCATCTGGTAGCTGTCGTCCTCCCTGGATTGTGAAATGACACGGCTGAAAGTATACAACCAGTCTTAGTGTTATATTTCATAGACACCTATATTTTTCATATTCATGAAGCAAAAGTTACATTATTTTATAAATGGCATGAAAATACTTTATAAACAGTTTGTCTAAATTGAAAACATGACTGAACAGTCTTTGATTATCCAAAAGCTGATCAGGAAAAGGATTTTAACCGATAACCAACTTCAACAGTCAGTATTTTCATAATTACTGATGATTACTTGAATTATTTCCCTCCTCTAACGATTTGGCATAATAATTTTTAAAAAATATAATGGTCATCCTTGTGAACAATGAAAAGGTGCGAAATAAAAATAAAACTTCAGAAAAGCATACCTGGTTGTTTTTCCTATATCTCAAAAAGAAGTCACAGTATATATAACCCAGAACTCCCTCTGTTTTATGTGTTACTGCCTGCAATACAAACAACACAAACACTGAGAAATAAATTGTTTTAATAAAAAGTCTCTTTGGTAATAATTTGAATGTAAAATCAGTTAAGCAAGACAATTAATTATAAAATGAAATTTTTTTGATGATTTGAATGATTTCATAATTTATAGAATCCATAAAGAAACAAGGAAGAACCATCAATTATATGAAATAAAAAATATATAAAAGATAAAATTAAAATGCACTCAGACAAACTAAAAACCAATGAAATTGCTCAATAACCTGATATGAATTACAATCATTATTTGGTACATTTTACTGTAAAATACTACACATTGTACCCCAATGCACAGAACATAGATACTACATCATTACATTCAACACCCTTACCAGTTTATGTACATCACTAGCCCAAAGTTCCCCTCGGGCAGGTTCCACATGACACAAGTTGATATCGTATAATTTACTAAACAACTGGTCCAGGCCGTCCATACAGGCACCCAGGGACAGGTAGGAGGCAGCCTCTATCTCGNTTATGTACATCACTAGCCCAAAGTTCCCCTCGGGCAGGTTCCACATGACACAAGTTGATATCGTATAATTTACTAAACAACTGGTCCAGGCCGTCCATACAGGCACCCAGGGACAGGTTGGAGGCGGCCTCTATCTCGTTATAGCCGTCACTCTGTTCTGCCACAGCCTGGGACATATAGTAAGCAAGGTCCCACGGCATGACCTCCTGATAGAAATTTAAGAAGAAAATATCAAATGGGTGAGGGGAGTGGAGGGGTCTAGAGAAAAATGGAATCAAAAGGAAAGGAGGGATGACCAGCAGGAAGGGAATGGTAAAGTAGCCCTTAGATGCCTTAATCTACCAGCGCAATTTCTATAACACTTTTTTTCTATAATAAAGAAAGGAGGAATATATTTCAGCTAATCTTAATTTATTTTGAAGAACTCTAGCATAAAAATAAATATATATTAGCAAAACTGAACACAGCAACTTTCCAGAGTTAAGAGAATGATGTTTATTTTGTAAAAATGAACTGAATACCACAGTATTACCTTATTAGTAGCTGCACTATCAAGATTTTTCATTTCTTTGATGATGTTTAATTCTTCTTTTACTCTGAAAAAAAAATCAGTGAATTAAGTGCACTCACAATTAAAAGACATTCCTCTAAATAGAATGAAGGGGAAAAGAAATAATCGACCAACAAGGTTGGGTTTAACAAGATGAATCTGCATACAGATTTTCGTTGATATTCGTAATTTAATATTGAAATGTCTGCTTAACAATCTTACCGAGGCTGCAAGGCTTTGGCTAAACTCTCCAAAAAACCCATGACAGCTTCTAAAAAAACAGAGAATAAATGGTGGTAATAAAAGTATACATATCAGTCAAATGTCTATAAAACAATTTCAGACAGTTTTACAAACATGCTAAATTTTGTTGAACATATCATCTCCCTGGTGAGCTTACTAAAATGTGTGATTGTGCGTGTGTGTATGCTTGTGTGTGCATGCATATATAAGTGTACTTGTCTCTTCCATGTTTTATCAGGTGTATCCATAAGTGTGTGTGTGTGCATATGCATATTCTTGTGCGTGCATGCATGTGGGCATTCATGTATGAATGTACTTGTATTTTCCATGTTTAACCAGGTTTATCCGTAATTTTGTGTGTGTGTGTGTGTGTGTGTGTGTGTGTGTGTGTGTGTGTGCGTGCGCACACATGTGTGTATGTGTGTGGATGTGTGCCCACACATGCTTACAATTGTCCAGTCCATGTTTTACCTGGTTTGTCCATAATTGCATCTTGCAAGGAGCGATGAGCAAAGGTGGGGAAGCCGACCAGCTGAGCCAACTCGTGTCTGGTGCTCAGCAACCTCTCCAATATCGCCTCCTGGTGCTCCAAACGATACAGGTACAGGCGATAGGCAACCTCTCGCACCTAGGTATTATAATGACGAGGAATTATTATAGCTGTTAATAAATAAATACAAGAACAAGTTCAATTTTGATTTGTGTTTACATTGTAGTGTTTTCTTTGATGGATGAATGGAGGATTTATTTCATATATTCTTATATATATAGTATTCTTGTCATAACTTTTATCATTATCATGAATACTTCAGGAGACTCCACATATAAACTACTGTACGATATTTTCAAGTCATACAATTTTCTCTTGTTATATCACGATTCCAGTTAATAGGCAAAGTATTTGAACTTTCAGTTAGAACCAAAGAAAAAGTCCATTCCACATGATTAATTTTTTTCTAGATCACAATAACTCAATTTAAAATGTGACAAATATTTTTTTCAGTTTTTACAACAGTTCTTTCCAAGTCCAGTGTGCTGGAGCATGGTAAACAATATCCCACAACCTGTTTCAAGGCCATGACTTATTATTTTGATAAACCACACCCATAGTTAACTCACTCTTTCCGACTGGTGGTATGGAAACATTCCTGTGACAGCAACATTGTCTCCATCAATACCAAATCTAGAAAAAAAATCAAATCTTAGACTTAGCCAAGTTTTTACTATAAACTACCTTTAATGATATATGTTTTGTTTTTTTTTTACTCTTTAACTCCTAGGGATATGCCAATAAATATAGTAATAATGCACCAATATACATAAATATTCAACATGTCTTCACACAGTCAAATCTACAGCAGGTTCTAAAATATTAAAACCAAGTTTAAGTCTACTCTGGGCCAAGAGAAATCAACCGTACATTTGTTCATAATGTCCAGGCCAAGAAAAAATAATTTTAGAAAATAATTTATTGCTTCAGACTGATTGCTTCATTTGTATTGTTTGAGCCATTACCATGGTCCACATTAAATTAAATATATTTTAAGCCTGTCTTATGACAAACCTGGTGATTATTTCAGAGTGGACTTATAGTGAAGAAAGCTAACCTTTTCAGGCTAAATTTCTTTTCTACTTTCACACACACACACACACACACACACACACACAGTCAGTTTCAGTGCCTAACAACTTTGTTACCAAAGTTACATGCACATATCGTAGCCTATCAGGAACAATGTTACAGCACTCTCATGGACACTTGCACACATCTTAGCCTATCAGGAACAGTGTTACAGCAACTGACTTATTTATGTGAAAAAACGGGCCAGTCCTCTGTCTATCAAAAAGTTGAAGTCATCTATACGTACACATATTGCAGGTTTTCTGGCAGGTGGTTTTTGGCAACCCTAATTGGCTCTTCTGTCCGTTGAGTGAAAGTGTTACTCAAGTGAATGATCTTCTTGTTTAACTCCACAAATTTTTCTCTCTGCAAGTTCAAAAACACTCCATGTTTTATTATTTCATGATTAAGATGCAAGCACACTTTCAGTGCGATTTTTTAAAAAAGAAATACCACACCTATTCCTTGCAGGTTAAAAAGCCAACATACGTCTTAGTTAATTTTCTTCAATCAATTAGCTTTTGTACCCTTCTCCCTATCTCCCACAGTTCATTATTTCTCACTGTAATAATTCCAGGTTCTGAGCACATTATCAAAATCACTTTACTTTGCTTCATTTCAAATTCTAAAAAATTTACGAACAAAATTAATGACCAATGTCCATTAGCGTAACATTGCATGCATAATTTCTATTCATAATCATTTAATATTCAATAAACTAAACAATTTGGAAATTCATTGTCAATGTCCATTGGTGTTCCATTGCATACATTTAAATTATCAACATTACAGTCACTTTTACCATTATTTACAACAGTTCCTTTTGAATGAAGTCAAAGCAATACAAATACAGTAACAGCCCAATGTGTGTTGGCATACCGTTGTGTCATTCAGATCTATCCCACTTTTTTCAAAGTCCACCAAGAAGAGCTCTATCACTCTCTTGTCTATGTCATCAGTGGGCATGGTGTCCCCCTCCAGGTGGACTTTCTTCAGAGCCTTGTACAGGGGGACGTTGGTGTTCAGTCTAAAATATATGACGAGACTTCAGTGACAACAGTCAACACATACACACATACATACACATGAACCCATACACACACTCTCTCTCTCTGTCTCTATATTTCTCTCTCTCTCTCTCTCACACACACACACACACACACACACACACACACACACACACACACACACACACACACACACACACACACACACACACACACACTCTCTCTCTCTCTCTCTCTCTCTCTCTCTCTCTCACTCACTCTCTCATGCACACATACATAAACCCACAAACAAATACAAACACACATATGAACAAATCATGACTAACATACCTCAGATAAACAAGCATTTTTGGCACACATACATACATAGACACAAATACAAACAAATGTATAAACACACATGTACACATATACTTATATTCTCTTAGCGATAACATTACACAAACATTCACACATTTACTCTCTCTGAAAACAAATATACAAACAAATAAAAACTCACATGCACATACTGACACATACATTTGTACCAGTGTTGCATGTCTTATTCTGAAGTTATTCACATTTTATTTTGTAGTATACTAAACAGTAATAATCACTGTAAGCACTACTCATATTGATTACTTTTAGTTTATATATAACTTCAATAATAGAGCTTACTTTTCCACCAGATAATTCACACCAAGACAAGCTTCTTCTGCAGCAGTGGAATAGTTCATGTCTGGATGGGCAACACGGACAAATTCTGCCTGAAAAAAAATAAAATAAAGCAATTAAATTGCTTTCTTTAGAATTGATTGGTGTCAGTACCAGCAACACAAGCTCAGTTAACAAAATTTGGTTGAACTTTTTTTTTTTTACAATAATGATGTTTCATACCAAAAAGTGTCAAACTATGCTCCATTATGTTCGCTGTAACTGCTCCTTGAGACATCAAAAACCATCATGTTCTGTTAGTACGTGTTCAGAAACCAAAAGTCATTATGTTCAATGTAAATGTGCCTTCAAACATCAAAAACCATTACCATATCAGCAACTCTGCACAGCACGTCGGACATGTCATCCAGGACCTCCACCATTTTTCTGCTTCTCTTGTCACTGGCGGCCTCGGACACAAGTTCATCTGTGATGTTTTCTGCGTCTTCATATAGTATGTGGAAGCTTTTAGGCTCAGTGAGGCCTGGGATGCAGAACAATCCCTGAAATTTAATAAGCTTTTTAAAAGTATTGAACTTCCCTATGCAAAATATCAGGCCTGCTGCAAATTTGCAGTGAATTTGAAGAAAATTTGCAGCAATATTGCTGCAAACTTTTCATTTTTCTAAGGGCTGATATGCTGAAAGCCAGTAAAATATGTCATTAAAGCAGTGTTTTAGTATCAATATTGAGGTGGTTTGAGGTCACAAGATTTTCAACCAAAAACTTGAATTCACTTTTTTTGGTACTAGTATGCATATCTGTCATGCAGAGGATGATAAACTCATTTCTTTCTCTTACATACTGTGAATCTGTAATGTATAAAGTAGTTACTAAATAAATTCACACAGTCTGAATTTTAGGATTTATAAAAAAAATTTATCATAATAATAATAATAATAATAATTATTATTATTATAATAATAATAATAGTAATAATAACTGCTATAACTATTATTTACCTGATTAGTAAAGTCAAACCTAAATTTCTCTACAGGCTGGCTGTTGAAGACAGAAGCAAGTGGGGACCATGTTGTGACATTTCTTGTTTGTAAACGATAAGAAGTGGTCCGAAACTCTCCTGCATGGCTGAAAACAGGCTTCACTTTACTGTCTCTGTATCTGTAAAGATGGCCCTGCTGTCTAGGCGTGGAAACAGAGAGGCAACGGTGGTGTAAGGAAGACCACGTAGAGAGTACTTGAACACTCTGCCTTTTACGTTGGAGTTTTAACCTGCCTAATGATCCATTCCACAATTTTGAAGTCATTTTTTGTGACATTTAAAAAATTATTTGAACACTCTCCTGTTGTTCTTGTTCTTTTTCAATTTCTCCTTTTAGTGACTTCCTTGCTTCCTGCAACTACAGAAATAAGACAGAGAAATGGTAAATATTTAAACAAATTTTCAGCCGTCACAGCGATCACAATTAAATATATTCGAGTACGTGTGCATGTACATGTAGTCCCATACACCAAGCTGCATAGAATTAAGATAGAATACAAGGATGCATACATGAAAGGCTGCGTGGTAAACCTTAATTGTCACTTCAATAAATTCTGGAATAAAATACAACGTAAGGTAATATTTTTAAACTCTCGAGTCGAGAGCAGTCGAGACGGAGATACTCCGTCCACTATGAAAAAAGCACGATATTAAAACCATATACATAAGGGTAACTTGGTATAACTGACATGAAATTCGGCTGTCCTTCCGTGTAATTAATTTATCTTAGCTTTAAAAACGATTAAAGGATATTAATGTAACGTAATTCATAACTTACCTCACTCGCGAGTGTTTATTTCTGCATGATTGTTTGATAAGTAATGTTTTCGTTCCTCCTGACAAGGAAGAGTTGGCTCAACTAACACACTCTAAAACTATTAGCACTGCCAACGCATTAGTGTTATAAGGCAACAAGTCTTTTTTTTCAGTCTATGCTACAACTTTTATCAATATTATCTGCTTAGGCAGTTCTTCCATTGGCGATTTTGAAAAGATGTTTTTTCTTCAATGAGTTTTTTTTTAAATAAAACTTCAATGACACAAAGTGGTGTATCATATTTCAACCAAAATTTATTCTTCACTTTAAAAAATATTAGTGAAAATTCATCAACAGTTTAACCAATTTAAAAAGTAATTGTAAAATACATTACTGTTATTTAATATTATCACAAAAATGCTTTTAGCAAAATGAAGAAGTATTATATTCAACAGATGGTGATAAATTGAAAGTATTTCTGCACTATTCAAGTTATTCACATCTTCCAGTGCACACATTTTATACAAGTGTTAAATTTTTGAGCAAATCAACATCATTTTTAGAAAATATATATTTCTAAGAAAAGTTTTAAACCTTCAGATGGCATTTTGCATAGTTTTGTCACAACTCTTTGGAGAGTTGAAGGAGCATTTTTTACACTGAATAGCACTCTTTTACAACAGGATATGCTATATCGTGTTTTACCCTTTGATCATATATTTACAGTTTGTAGCAATAAATATAAATACTAATTACACAAGATGACTTTCATTCAATTTCAAACTTGTTAATTACTTATGACATTTTTTACAAGTCTTTGGGATTTCCATTAAATTTGCACAGCAGAATAACAAAAGTCAGTTCAGTAAGTTTCCCCGACATGGCAGCCAATTGGAATATCTTTCAACTTAACTGAAAGCAAATAATCTTTTCTCCAAAATAACATTGATCATGGCACAAATGACAAATAATTGCTCCTGAACTTATATACCCTTTTCACATAAATTTGCTCTGAGAACACAATTACGTACAATAGTATAATTATATATATATATAGCCTTTTTCATAAAACCAGGAAC